TATCGGTATATTTACTCATAATAATATTTATCTCCTATAAATAATTGATTTAAATTTTATTTTTTTACAAAGAATATTCAGTAAATGAGTGCATTAATTCTTGAAACTATCGACGGTTAATTACAGACGCTCAAGTGACGTCACTAGTGTTTACACTACACCAGCTGGTAATATTTGATGCCATTACTTGAAGTGAATTTGCCTTATTTTAAGTAACTAACTATAAATAAATACAAAAATTAAAAAAAAAGATCAAAACTGAGAAATAATATACTGTATGTATGTTGTGTTGTCAAAGTAAGAGGAACAATTGTGTAAGTACGTAATATTTTTTCACTCAAATCCTAATGAAACACTACTGGAGAACATTCCTTTGTCGCAAAACAGTTTATAAATTAAAGAAAATAATTACAGTGTGTTTAATATATTACAGTATATTATAAATAAATAAATAAAACAAATAATTCAGTAAATCTATTTAAAGTAAATGGAAAATAAGCAAACATGTTATTTACCAAGACCCTTCCGTCTGGCTCAGGGTGAGATGGAGGGGAGATAACAAAGCTATTTATAGCCCATCAGAAGTGACCAGTACCCTAATGCACCATAAATAATTCATTGAACATTCATTTTTTGTACATAGTATATTCAGTATATATATATATATATATATATATATATATATATATATATATATATATATATATATATATATATATATATATATATATATATATATATATATATATATATATATATTTGTGTAATAAATGTATGTAGTAAGTACATACTGGTAACCTTTTTCACTCAAATCCTAATGAAACACCACAATTAGAATACAGTGGTTGCTGTTGAACCACATGTTGTATAAATAGTCACACCACCGAGACGAGGGAACACTCCCACCACGCTTCAGTGACGTCACTAGTGTTTACACTACACCAGCGGGTATAATTTGATGACATTACTTGAAGTGAATTGGCCTTATTTTAAAAAATCAAGGATGGTTGGTAAAGGACTACTGAGTCAGTGGGTAAGTGTCACATTTGGGGTACTGGTCTTATACAGCAAATAGAGCTCAAAAGCTACTTTTTAAATGGAAATTTGGGGGGGGCGTCTTATGCACCCCGCCGCCTTATAGGCCGTGATATACGGTATATATATATATATATATATATTTCAAGTAAATGGAAAAATTTTACTCGACACAGACATTAGTTCCAGTTACCGGTAAATAGCAGACACTTCAGTGACGTCACTAGTGTTTACACTACACCAGCGGGTAACATTTGATGACATTACTTGAAGTGAATTGGCCTTATTTTAAAAAACCAAGGATGGTTGGTAAAGGACTACTGAGTCAGTGGGTAAGTGTCACATTTGGGGTACTGGTCTTATACAGCGAATAGAGCTCAAAAGCTACTTTTTAAATGAAAATTTCGGGGGGCCGTCTTATGCACCCCGATGCCTTATAGGCCGAGATATACGGTACTCGAGCAAATTTATTCAGTTACTTTACAACTCTGCCTACCATGCCTCTCTCCTACTACAATGCTTCATTCTTCGCCTGCAGTGCTGGTAAGCGTTACTTTTGAAAAAAGAAAAAGAAAAAAGGTACAGTAGTACCCCGATTTACGCGGTCAATTGAGCCCATGGGGTACCGCAGAAAGTGAAAACCGCGTAAAGTGAACAACAGAACATATGGGATTAATTCCAATAGAGACTGGCCCGACCCCCAAACTCCACTTTTTCAGACACAATACCTACGTTGTAGTAAAAATTACATCTTAATTTTATGATGGTATGCACACACAATAAATAATTAAGAGAAATATCAATAATATTAGTTTTTTAACACTTACATTAGTAGAAAAGATGGCTGGGCACACAGGGATGGGGGTTGGTTCCGAGGCAGAGGGCAGATTATTGGCCCTCACCTGTATCACTTGTATCAATTGTATCACTATCCACCACATAGGCTTGCAGGGCCTCTTTGTCAAACCCCTCAAAGTCCATATAAGTCCATATCCTCACTATCACTGACTTAGGTCCGGCTGTGGTGGGTGGCGGGTGAAGAACTCGGTAATGTTTTGATGACTGGGCGACCTTGTGTGCATCCTGCCCGCGCCGCTTCCCGCGTATATGAGTAGATGCACCGCGGAAAGTGAAAGTTCGGTTCTGGCGAGGCACCGCGTAAATGAGAAATCGCGGAAAGTGAAACCGCGTAAAGCGGGGTAATACTGTACAGTGGTCCGTCGGTTAACGAGCGCCTCGGTTAACGATTTACCTTCCATAAGATTCTTAACTTCGGTTAACGAGCAATCCCTCGATTAACGAGTTTTTTACGAGCCGACTTCAACATGTTTTCGCTTGCATTTGGCGGTCCACCAGCTGTAGTATTAGTCCGCCAATATAGTAATCGGTTTTAGGGCTTAAATTCCTTACTATTTTAGTAAATATCAAGAAGTTTATACTATTCAATAATTTTAAAAGTTTAATATTAACTTTTTTAATCATTTTAACAATTATTGAACATAATTGAAGGTAAAGAAACTAGTTTATGGCGTGCCATCCAGCCTGTTAACACACCAGACAGGAATTAGTCTCTCTCTGTTTTCAGTGGAGGTAACATCTTGCTTGAGACTCTCTTCAACTTAACGCTTTTTTTCTGTGTTTCCAAGCAAATTATTGGTCATTTTGAAATATATTTTACATATTGACAATATATAATGCAGTGCAGAGTTGATTTAAAGAAAATAATCTTGAAATACACCAAGAGAACTAAAATTTTATGGGTGAAATGGAGCCATGGGGTGACTTCTCTTCCACCCCAATGCCTTCTCTTCTCCCTTCTCCTCCACCCCCATTCTAATTCCCATCATCACCATCATCCAGGAGCCTTCTACATACACACCTCAAAGTAAGTGTACTTTTCTACCTTTTTTGTTGAATTTAGGTAATTTTCGGTGAGCTGGAACCAATTACCCAAAAACCCGTTGAAACAATGGTTTCGGTTAACGAGTTTTTCGGTTAACGAGCAACCTGCTGGAACGGATTGTGCTCGTTAACCAAGGGACCACTGTATACATAAATGAGCCGATAATCTTTTATTGTACTGTAGTATTTTTGTAAGGGTGGGGGTGCCTTGATAAGTTGGAATTTGGGATAATTCGACAAGGCCAGAGCCCCATATGTGCCGAGTTATCAAGGTTTTACAGTAAAAGGATAAAGTTAGGTATATCTACCCGAAAATACGAGTTGAAAAACAACCATAACACCTCACGGTTTGGCTCAGTAACCTGGTGGTTACAGCCTAACCTGGCTACAATGCCTCCAGTGATGTTAACAGATGCAAATGTGATAAGAAAGTTATGTGTAGATCTTCATTTGTATCAGGCATTTGTAGATTGAAAAATAAATGTTTCAGGCATGGCATTAATAGAGTGTAATGCTCGTAAGAGTTCAGAAAAGATTACTGCGTAGCTACATATGAAGAGTTTGGTGTCTACTGTACAGATGTTAATCGTCTCAAGGTTATCATCATCAGTACAGTAGTTATAAATTGAACTTTTACATTTACAATAATTATTTTTATTTAATTAGTAATACTGTAATAATAATAATGTGTTTAAGTAAGCAATAACATATTTTTAATTCTGAAGTTGGGTGAGATAGAATTTAGAATACTGGAGACAGCAACTGGAGGATTCATTAGCTTGCGGGAGAATGTAACTTCACATATACATGTAGGATGCAGGCTGATTATTATTTTTTAGTTATTTTTCAGACAAAAAGTGCATCATATGTGCCATAAAATACAGTACATACTGTAAACCCTCTCAATAATGTATAAAATATCCCCAATAATGGACGTCTTTTGTCAGGATACAGTACAGTATATACAGTATGGGTTCTTGGAGTAGATATATAAAATTTCAAAAATTATCTAATTTCCAAAAGCAATGTGATTCCTGATACATTTGACTGTATTAAGGTAGCCTTCATTTAAAATACATATCAAGTATGAAATTAATTAAAACTTAATTGTCTGCAATACATATTTTTAACTAATACTGTATACAGTACTTGTAAATATGTGGAAAATTTTTTATTACCTCAAGGAGTAGTGACCTTGCATTGCCAACTAAGAGGGCGCCTGAAAGTCGTACATATTGTTATGCCGAGGCACAATTTCATACAATAATTTTGTAAACTAGGTGTTTTGATTATTTTCTACTTCAAGCAACAATTATTTTGGCAAATATAGTTAAATTTTCATGTATATATTGATGTATTAATTATGTTAGAATATTCTAGAATGTATTGCATCATTTTTTTTATGATTTACTTATTAATGTAAGCCTCGATCAGAGTAGAAAGTTCTAGAATCTCCCAGGTGTCCCTGGGTTATTCTAGGATGTTCGAGAAGCATCTGACAAGGTGCATATAAGTGGCCGCGGGCTGCCTAGTAGTCGGTCAGTCGATCTCTTCTGTTCATAGTGTAAAGAATAAGCCTAGCAGAACAACTGAAGACAATATTATTTGTTGTGAAGTATTATGGAAGTGATGTGGCAAATATAAAATGAGAAGACTAAGGAACTGTAGACTGGTAGTGTGCTGACTATATATTCGAGGTGTTGTGAAGAATTAGTGTTTATTAAAGAAGCCTACAGTGCACAGGTGTGTTTCTGTGACCTGATGGAAATCTACCGGCCCGTTGTTTGTCTGTAAACTGATACTGATAGTCGGGGAATTACCCGAGACTGGAGGAACAGCTGGGTAAACGGTGAAAGGAGGAGGGTCATAACAATATTTTAACTGTGGCAATAAATACTGTGTAAATATTTGTGCCTAAAATCACTAAAATATCAAACTTTCTTGGGACACATTTAGTATTTTGCTGTTGTTGTTATTGTTTCACTGGTCCTTGGTCCCCATAGAATTCATCACATAAACAAAACATATCTTACAGATCATTGGTATATCGTGATCTAACTCACCTGATTAATAGCCCTCCTTCTTTTTAGAAGTTTGGGACAGTTGTTTGGTCTTATGTATTGATCCTTGAAGAGATTTTGGGATACAGCACGAGGAGGAACACACTGACCTGTTTGTAAAAGGAAACAACTCATGAGGATATTCTTTTACATATACCCCTGTACTGTACTGTATATCATTTAATGCTATTAAAAGTAATATCTCCGTTAGCCAGAATCCCTCAAACCCGGAACTCTCCAATAGCCAGAATTGAAATTTGCTTGAAAATTTTCCAGAAAATTCCCTAAATTGGGGCTTTGGGAAAAAAATTTGAGGTCGAAAATCAGGGTCATTTTCTTAAATTAAAAACTGGAGGATCTGTCTAAATTTTTATTTCTGGGTCTGGGAACAGACTTGACTTAGCAGAATATAACTTGCATTGCTGGAATCTTTGCAAGATTGCAATTAATTTGAGTACTGTATATTTAAATTTCTAAATCTATATATGGGCATGAATGAAGCTGTGTCTTACAGCAAAGACTGGTATTTTCCACTCCCATGGAGCTGTGGGTCTCATGTAACTTATCTGACTGGATGCAATGCCAGGTGGAGGTAGGGTGGATGATTAGTGGGAATCACGATCTGAAAGTGTCTTGAATAAACACGACACAAAGTATTTTTAGGGAGATTGTGTTAAGTTTAAGTATAAATGAGCAAACTTGTAGCCCTTCAACATTACATTACATAACATAACAATTTAAAATATGAAGTGAGAAAAAAAATGTAAGAGTAATTAGACAGATGGAGTGGAAAGGAGTGTTGCCAAGCACTCCTCAACAGCTGATATTTAACTCACTACCATGCAGTCATACAATAAGACCCTCAATCCTCATGCTTGCTATCTTAATTCCTGTGTGTGTGTGTGTGTGGGGTTTAGTGTGTGGGGTTGGAGGTGTGTGTGTGATGTGTGGGTGGTGATGGTGTGGTGATGGTATGAACGGTGATGGTGTGGGTGGGTGGTGTGGATGGTGTGTGAGTGGTGGTGTGGTGTGGTGATGGTGAGGGTGTATGGGTGCTTGTTTGGGAGGTGTATGGTTGGAGATGTTTGTGTGCTGTGGGGTGTGTGTGTGTGATGTGTGGGTGGTGTTGGAGGGGTGTGTGTGGGTGATGTTTGGAGGTGTGTGTGTGTGTGCTGTAGGGTGCCTGTGCTGATGTGTGGGTGGGTGTTGGAGGTGTGTGTGGGTAATGTGGGTATGTGTGTGTGTGTGTGTGTGTGTGTGTGCTGTGGGGTGTATGTGTGTGATGTGTGGGTGGTGTTGGAGGGGTGTGTGTGTATTTTGGAGGGTGTGTGTGGGTAATGTTGGAGGGTGTGTGTGGGTAATGTTGGTAATTGTGATAGGGAGATGAATTTGATATCATAATGATCCGTAACAATTTCTCTAAGAGACGTTTCCAAGAAGATATCCTTAATCGAAATACTTCAATATGATATAATGATAGAATTCCATTCTTTTATAAAAAAAAATAAGAAATGTTGATATTGAAGTCCACATATATATATATATATATATATATATATATATATATATATATATATATATATATATATATATATATATATATATATATATATATATATATATATATATATATATATATATATATATATATATATATATATATATATATATATATATATATATATATATACATACATATATATATACATATATACATATATATATATATATATATATATATATATATATATATATATATATATATATATATATATATATATATATATATATATATATATATATATATATATATATATATATATATATCTCATTAGCCCAATAAAGCACACGGACTTCTACATACATATATATATACACAGTGGTCCCTCGGTTAACAAACACAATTCGTTCCACAGAGTCGTTCGTTAACCGTAAATTTTGTTAACCGAATCCATTATTTCAATGGGATATTGGGTAATAGGTTCCAGCTTACAGAAAAGTACATACACAGTTATGCCAAAAATGCATAAAGTAAGAAACACTCCTAAAATTCCCCTAAATCGCCCTTAAATCACGATACAGGTATAGATACGTACGTATACACTCTTACTTTTAAATCACTACTGTAATGTGATACAGGTGATTAATTTTTATCTCTTGTGCAAAATATATTACGTTTATATTCAAATTATTCGCTGTCTTGCAAGGATTCCAGCAATGCAAATTATATTCTCCTAACTTTAGTCTGAGATATTATATAAGATAAAAACTGTAAGCCTAAAACCCTGGATGGGCAGATGGGGGAAAGGAAGGAGGGAGGGAGGAGGGGAGGGAGGGAGGGAGGGAGGGAGGGAGGGAGCAGGAGGTGAGGTGATATGTTTGACAGTTGGCGCCCAAGGTCTAATGTGTGTTTATTTATCAGTCCTCAAGTGACTAAGCTTCTCTCTTATAAAATGCCAGTGAAATGACCTGGGAGAAAATAATTTACATTGCTGGAATTCTTATAAGATAGTGATTAACCCTTAGGCCCTGGGTGACGTTCCAGAACGTCCGCTTACTTTCCAGCCATTTTTTTTATTATTATTATTGGAAATGTTGATTTTTTTCTCGATTTAACCCTGCGTGCGGGGTACAGTTCAGCTTTGCCCTTACGACAGTGTGTGCGTGTAAATGAGTTTCAATAAATGAATAAAGTTACATATATCGAGCCAAAAATAATAGTTGAAAACTTTATGTAGACAGTGCTTGGATGGCTAAATTTCAGAATGACCAATAATTTTAATATAAAAAATGCAAAAATATTCAAGAACACAACCTTCTTGATATTTACTCCACTGGAAACGAATGTAAACATAGAACAAATTACTGTATTGGCGGACTAGCCCATCAGCTGATGCTCACAACAAAACGTGTTTGTCGTAAGGATTTCGTTAATCAAAGTTTTGTTCGTTAACTGAATTGAAGATCCTTATGGGAGCTAATTCGTTAAATGAACTTTCGTTAATCGAACCGTTCGTTAACCGAGGGACCACTGTATGTATAATACAGTTGTACCCCACTTAACGCGGTCAATAGAACCCAGAGGGTCCCGTGTTAAGTGAAATCCGCGTAAAGTGAACAACAGAACATATGGGATTAATTCCAATAGAAACCGGCCCGACCCCCAAACTCCACTTTTTGAAGACACATAACTATGTTGTAGTAAAAATAACATCTTAATTTTATGATGGTACATGCACACAATTAATACTTAAGAGAAATAGAGAAATACAGTCGCCAAGTTAATGTCCATTCAAATAATGGACTCAACTCCCTCCCCCTCTCACACTACACTGCCGGCTCTTCCCTCTCTGAGAAATTTTTGGGGGAAAACCACTAAATTTTAATAAATAATACCTCAAACTAAAGTTATGATAATACAATTGACATTGCTGGATTCCTTGTAAGACCAGGAATATTTTGAATATAAATGTCATATATTTTGCACAAAAGATAACATAGTTACCCAGAGAAAAAATTTTATCTAAAATTTGTATGTCTAATGCAAAATATATGATGTTTATATTCAAAATGATCACCAAACTATAAGAATTCCAGCAATGTAAATTATATTCTGACCAGGTAATTTGTATGAATTTTATGAGCTAAAACAAATATCTTCAGTTAATAAAAAAAAAATAATCTTCACGACACTATCTGTCAATCAAAGTACCCCACCTTGCCTCCCCCCCCTCTTCCAACCGCGCGGTCAGTCCCAACCCTCCCCCCCCACCCCCCACCAATCCTCCCTTCAAGAGATGTGGGGTGAAAAAAATAAATTTTAACATTTTGTATTAAATAATACCTCAGATTAAAGTTAGGATAATATAATTGACATTGCTGGATTCCTTGTAAGACCAGGAATATTTTGAATATAAATGTCATATATTTTGCACAAAAGATAACATATTTACTCAGAAAACATTTTATCTAAAATTTGTATGTCTAATGCAAAATATATGATGTTTATATTCAAAATGATCATCAAATTATAAGAATTCCAGCAATGTAAATTATATTCTGACCGGGTAATTTGTATGAATTTTATGAGCTAAAACAAATATCTTCAGTTAATAAAAAAAAAAAATATTCTTCACAGGGTAACAGATGGTCAGTCGGTCCCTCCCTCCCTCCCCCCCCACCCCCCACCAACCGTCCCAAGGAGATGTGTGGGAAAACCAGAATACTTAACTTTTTTGTAATAAATAATACCTCAAACTAAAGTTAGGATAATATAATTGACATTGCTGGATTCCTTGTAAAACCAGGAATATTTTGAATATAAATGTCATATATTTTGCACAAAAGATAACATAGTTACTCAGAGAAAAATTTTTATCTAAAATTTGTATGTCTAATGCAAAATATATAATGTTTATATTCAAAATGATCACCAAATTATAAGAATTCCAGCAATGTAAATTATATTCTGGCCGGGTAATTTGTATGAATTTTATGGGCTAAAACAGGCAGTCAGGCAGGGTGGCGGGTGGGGCAAATCTAAAAATAGCGTCTCGAGCAGGACACTCACCGCGTATATGTGGAAAAAATCCGTGTTAAGTGAAAGTTCAGCTCTGGCGAGGCACCGCATATATGATAAAACGCGTTAAGTGAAACCGCGTTAGGCGGGGTAATACTGTGTGTGTGTGTGTGTGTGTGTGTATATATATATATATATATATATATATATATATATATATATATATATATATATATATATATATATATATATATATATATATATATATATATATATATACACATAAAAATAATCATTAGTGAGAACCATATATGACATATGAGGCTCTCCGCGTGAGAAGGGGGTGAAGCGGCACCCCAGCCTAAATACGTTTTTTTGAAGGATATCACTATTTTCGCCCTTCCTCTACATGTTGGCGTTGGATGTAACCCTCTAGCTAGAATACAAATATGGTTGAAAGTACTTCAAAAATAAGATGTGATTTAGCCTCAGGCCTGGAGCTACATATCTGGCTGTGCGCTCAGTGCAAGAAAGTGGCAACATCCCGTTCAGAGCGAGAACTAATGATAGCACGCCTCCCTCGGACCATAC